GCGTTCGTCAGGAGCATTTCCTTAGAAAAGTGAATACTGCAATCAACACCATACATAGTAATATTGACTCCTCTTGCATAGATGCATAACAACATCAGCAAACAAAAACAAAATGTTGCAAATGTATGTATTACAATAGTGAAAAAACGAACGACAAGGAGCATTTTCAGTTCACTTCTAGCATTTATCAGCATCATTTAAGCACAAGAATAATACAATAAACAATACCTAAAGCTAAATGCACAAAGACTAGTTTGAAATTACTCCAAGCATAAGAACAAAAAACAAAAGCCTTGTGGGACCAAATAAAATATGAACTTGAAAGAGAGAAAAATGCGAAATGTATAAAAGACTGAAAGTAATCATCCACTATCTACCCATTGGACATATCAGAAAGGGGAAAAAAAAATCAGTGATTCATTTGTTTCCTTGCCAGAGCATGTTAGAATTTATATAATGACCATCAACTGACATAACTGGTATTGAGGGAGTGCATGTCAAAGTAAAAACCGTAAAATCTAATAAAGTATGTTTGTATGTTCTGCCTAATATGCAGTTCTCTGTCATGCTAAATTAAACTCTTTTGTGCAACTCTATGTTCTCTAATTGTATGTGATACATCGGACAACAGTTTAGTCTATTTGCATATGACAAAATATACAACTGTAAAATGTGAACTGCATCCTTACTCGTGAGGAACAGGCCAACTGGTATTTGATAAAGTGCACAAATCAATAGACGAATAAAATGTAACTAAAAAAGTGTACATAGATTCATATTGCAAGTTTAGTTATATCCATCTATGTACATAAATCAACATGTCAATCCACGCCAGCTTGTGCATAGCATGAGGGTGATCCTTCCGGCACTACTTGTATACTGACAGTAAACAACCTAGTCTCCTTTTAAACTGTCATGTCCAATTTCTTGTTAATATGCCTGACATGTGACAGTGCACATGACATGATGACATGTTTCATCAGATATATAATACGTCACCCCTACATGCTCTCTGTGCAAGGTGTGTAAATCATTGTCACTAGCATAGGCATCTACTTAAATACATATACTAATGTGGTTAAAATTTGAAAATATAACAACAAAGAACACCTTCAAATTAAACAAAATTCTGATGTTTCTCAAGTAAACTAGCCTCCTTAGGGTTATGCAAGTGATGCAAGAATATGCATCAATTATTTTAAATTACTCAATGTTCAATTTGATGACACTTAAGTTTTGAAACATAAAGTTAACTACAAATGGAAAATTATGGATGGTGTTCAAAGCTCGTGTTATAAAGTAATAGTAAGCACCCATCCACTGACCTGATTTCTTCTGACTCGATTTTGATAATGTCTCCAGATACAAGCTCGTACTGGCAACGACATTGGGAACAAGATGCAACCTAAAGCAGGTTCATAATACTTGTAAAAAACTAAATGAAGATTACATTTTCTTAGACAACAACTCTGAGAGATTTTCCACAGATTATTCAAAGTGGTATGAAATGTATAAAATTTGTCAATACCTTGACCAAGAGAAAATTAACAATAGTTTTGCTCACTAATTAGCATGGCTGGCTAATACTGAAATATTACATGAACAAGAAACTCACCTTATTTAGCATGGCTTTGATTTTTGAATGACCATCTAGCATAGCAAAAAACAGATGCAGAAATCAATATGAAGTCACCGTGTGGTTTCAAACTTGAGTTAGAACCAATTCCCTAGAATATGAACTAAAAGGGGATGTTATATGAGCCAAGGTGACCTCAGAGATTGTGTTACATGCCGATTGAATAATGGTGCGTGCTGTTTTTTCTCTGAGATTGGAGCAGGAAGTACAAAACCAAAGTATATTACGCCATAAATTTGGGAATTGAGTTGTGTTCTCAGACTCCTAAAAAGATGAAATACTAGGTCCTGGGAAATGGTCAAGATGGCAATCTTGCGTTCCGCTACAAAATAAAGTAATCAAGGAAGCTTTGATTGTGTGCTTCTTAATCATACTTGTATTCCATGTTGAGGTTGTGCAACAGCAATTGCTACCATACAGCTTGGGCATCGAACAACCATGCCAAATGGAACCTATAAGATTATTCAGAAAGCACAAATAACTTATCAGAAGCAATTATCGCAAGATTAAAAGATATACATATAAATAAATAAATAAAT